AGGTGTCGAACAAAGGTGTCGATCGGGCACAAAAGTCTAAGTTGCAGTCGTTGAGAAGGTTTTATGATAATTGTGAGATGACCTCTACAGAAACAGTAGATGCGTATTTCACTCGTCTTATTAATATGGTGAATAAGATGAGGTTATAAGGAGATACGATTGAAGATGGTGCAGTGGTTGAAAAAGTTTTTCGAACTATGCCGATGAAGTATGACCATGTGGTGGCTTTGATCACAGAGTCACACAAAACTGAGCTCTTATCAATTGCAGAGCTGAAAGGTATGGTAGAAAGTCATATTGACAGAATTGCGTCAAAATCGGAACCACTAGCAGAAGAAGCTTTGAAGAGTCAAGTCACCCTTAATGTGACTGGCACTAATCAAAGAGGTGGAGGGTTTGGTAGAGGTCGTGGAAGAGGAAGAGGAGGTTCTGGTGGAAGAGGTCGTGGTAACTTCAACCAAGGAGGAGGACGTGGTAACTCCAACCAAGGAAGAGGGGGAGGTAATACCAAACAAGGTAAATTTCCATTTCATTGCTACAATTGTGGCAAGTATGGGCACAAGATTGCAGATTGTTGGTATAATGAAGACAACAATCGTGGAAATCAAGCAAACATTGCTGAAAATACTGCTGAAAAGTCTGGTGAGAATTCTGAAACCTTACTCTTGGCCAGTGATAGTTTTTCTGCAGATAAGAACATATGGTTCTTGGATACTGGGTGTAGTAACCATATGTGTGGGAAGAAAGAATTGTTTTCTGAACTGGATGAATCAGTCCGGTCTGAAGTGACATTTGGCAATAAGTCAAAAGTGCCAATTTTGGGAAAAGGTATAATCTCTATTAAGTTGAAGAATGGTACTCACAATTTTATATCCGATGTGTTCTATGTTCCTGAACTACACCAAAATTTTTTGAGTATGGGTCAGTTGTCAGAAAAAGGATATAAGATACATATTGCTAAGGGGTGTTGTACCATTGCAGATGCTAAAGGAGTTTTGATTGCAAAGGTAAATATGTCCCAAAATCGACTATTTCCTTTGAAAATTAAGCATACTCTCCTTGCTTGCTTTAATTCTGAAGTTTGTGATGATAATTGGTTATGGCATATGCGATTTGGGCATTTTTATTTCTCTGGATTACACTATCTTGCGAGAAATGAACTTGTTTCTGACTTATCTGTTGTGAATGTCCCTGATCGTATATGTGAGATTTGTGTGATTGGGAAGAAGCATAGAGATCCATTTCCTGTGGGTAAGTCAAGGAGAGCCACAAAACAGTTGGAGATTATTCACTCAGACCTGTGTTCGTTGGAGGTTCCCTCACATGGAGGTTGTAAAGTACTTTATTACTTTCATTGATGATTTCAGTAGGAAAACATGGGTTTACTTTCTGAAGCAAAAGTCTGAAGCATGTGATATTTTCAAACAATTTAAGGCTTTTGTTGAAAAGCAGAGTGGTTATGAAATTAAAATCTTGAGAACTGATAGAGGTACAAAATATATTTCTTGTGATAATTTTCTGAAAGAGAAGGGCATTCAGCACCAGATGACAGCTAGATACACTCCACAACAAAATGGAGTGGCTGAGAGGAAGAATAGATCTATCATGGATATGGTGAGGTGCATGTTGAAATCCAAGAATCTGCCTAAACCTTTTTGGGCAGAAGCTGCTGCTTGTGCTGTCTATGTGTTGAATAGGTGTCCAACTAAAAGTGTCCGTGATAAGACACCCGAAGAAGCTTGGAGTGGGAGAAAACCCTCTATCAAATATGTCAAGGTTTTTGGATGTTTGGCATATGCACGTGCCAGATCCGTTGAGAAAGAAGTTGGATGATAAAGGTGAGAAGTGCATATTCATTGGTTATAGTGACGCTTCAAAGGCTTATAAACTATACAATCCTGAAACTAAGAAGGTTGTTATAAGTCGTGATGTCACTTTTGATGAATATGGTGCCTGGGATTGGTTAGCTAAAGATGAAAGTTCAGTTGTTATTCTTGTTGTTGAAAATATTGTTGATGAGCAACCGATTCCAGATAATGTCCAGTCTCCTTCATAGCCAGAATCGTCAGTTCGACGATCTCAGTGCGAGCGCCACTTACCAGCTCGCTTGCAAGATTATGTTTTGGGTCATGATAATGACATGTCTGATGAAGAGATTGTTCAATTTGCTCTCTTTGCAGATTGTGATCCTTTAACTTTTGAGGAGGCTGCTACAGAAACTCATTGGCTTAAGGCGATGGATGAGGAGATACGTGCCATTGAAAAGAATGGTACCTGGGAGTTAACAGATTTACCTCCTAGAAAGAAGCCAATTGGAGTGAAGTGGGTTTACAGAACGAAGTACAAGTCAAATGGAGAAATTGACCGTTTTAAGGCACATTTAGTAGCAAAGGGTTACAAGCAGAAACCAGGTATTGATTATTTTGAAGTTTTTGCTCCTGTAAGTAAACTTGATACAGTTCGAATGGTTATTTCTCTTGCTGCTCAAAATGATTGGAAATTGCATCAAATGGATGTCAAGTCTACTTTTCTGAATGGTTTTCTTGAAGAAGAAATATATGTTGAGCAACCTGCAGGATTTCTGAAGAAAGGGGAGGAAAATAAAGTGTACAGGTTGAGAAAAGCCTTATATGGCTTAAAGCAAGCGCCAAGGGCGTGGTATGGTTGCATTGAGTCATTTTTTGTTGAAAGTGGTTTTATGAGATGTCCTCATGAGCACACTTTGTATGTCAAATGAACGGATTCTAGTGATATTGTGATAATTTGTCTATATGTTGATGATCTGGTTTTTACTGGAAATAACTTGAAGCTAATCTCAGAATTCAGGGAGGCACTCATTAAGAGGTTTGAAATGACCGATATGGGCCTTATGTCTTACTTTCCTGGCCTTGAGGTTGTTCAGATGGATGGTGGAATCTTTATTTCACAGAAGAAGTATGCTGCTGATATTTTGAAAAAGTTCAAAATGGCAAACTCCAAACCAGTTTCAACGCCGTTAGCTGAAAAGTTAAAGGTGTCCAAAGATGAATGTGGTAAAAATGTGAATGTTACAGCTTATAAAAGCTTAATTGGGAGTTTGAGGTATCTGGTGGCAACAAGGCCGGATATTTCTTTTGGAGTTGGAATACTTAGCAGATTCATGGAGGAACCAAAAGAATCCCATTGGGCTGCAGCAAAGCGAATTCTGAGATATGTGAAAGGTACGAGTAATGATGGAATTTTTTACTCCACTAATGAAGATGTGAGACTTGCTTGGTACACCGACAGTGATTGGGCTGGAGATATTGAGACCAGAAAAAGCACATCAGGATATGCCTTCTATCTTGGTTCAGCCATATTTTCTTGGTCTTCAAAGCAGCAGCAGATTGTAGCACTTTCAACCGCAGAAGCAGAATATATTGCAGCAACAAACTGTGCTACTCAAACAGTTTGGCTAAGGAGAATTTTGGAGTTCCTACAACACGAGCAGGAATCACCTACAACTATTTTTTGTGACAACAAGTCAGCAATTTCGTTGTCCAAAAATCCAGTCTTTCATGGTCGCAGCAAACACATTGATATCAAGTATCACAAAATCAGAGAGTTGGTTGTTGAAAAACAAATAAACATTGAGTATTGTTCAAGTGAATGTCAAGTTGCAGATATCTTTACGAAGCCGCTGAAGACAAAGACATTTCTCAAGTTGAAGAAGGAAATTGGGATGGCCAATATATCCAACTTGGTTTAAAGGAGACAACGTTATAATATTATTATTATAATTATTATTAAACCAAGTAAATGGGAATAAGGAGCAGTTAGTGGAGTTGTGTAATGGGAATGTGGCAGCATTACATGAAACCTGTGTGGTACATGGGGAGCTTTACTTCCCTAAATTTATGCTTTGTTAGTTTTGTTGTTTAGTATAAATAGTCTTTGTATTCAGGCATTTTAAATCATCAATTAAATCACTTATCCATTCCTCTCTCTATCTCTTTTCAATATATATAAATATAATATATAGATATATTATATTTAATATATATTATAGATATATTATATTATATTTAATATATCTAACACGAACCACTATAAAAACTCTCGTCTCTCTATCTTTTTACTTTCGTGCTTTACTTTCTAGCATTGCATTATCATTCGTCCAAACCGAAAGTTATCTTAAAACTTCAAATTGTGCAAAGCAACTAAAATCAACTTAATCTATCCGCTGCGCTACAACCCCGAAAGGTTGCTATCTGCCAAAAATCGAGAAGAGTCTATTCACCCCCCCCCCCCTAGACTCTCGTTCTAACCCTACCGGGACCAACAAGTGGTATCAGAGCCAAAACCTTGATCGGTAAAGGCTTTGCATTTACTGCCTGGTAGATCTCTTATCAAAAGGTTACTGAAAAGTTGCATATTTTCAGCTTTGCACATTTTTCGTAAAAATGGAAAAAGATCATGTTAACCATTCGAAGAAGCTTGCTTTTAACCTCTCCAAGTTTGATGACTAGAAAGTCAGAATGCAGGCTCTTCTCTCGGTAATACATGACGAAATATGGGATGTAATAACCACAGGACCAATCACCATCATGATGGCGAATACACAAGCTGCAGCACAAGGAGCAGGTGCTGAGCAGATGATACCAATGCCCAAGTGTCAACTCACCTCGGAGGAAAGAACAAGAGCGAACTTGGATAATGTAGCATGAAATATTCTCTACAACTCTCTCGACGACTCCTTGTTCCCCAGAGTCCAAAAATGCAAAAATGCTATAGAGATCTGGAATGTTCTGATGAACCTGGGTGAAGGAGACGAACAGGAGAAGGACAACAAATTGACAGTGGCCATGAAGAAGTTCGAGGACTTCAAGATGTTGCTGAATGAAGCTATCACAGACATGGAACTAAGGTTTACCAGGCTCATGGGTGATCTGTCTGATCTCGGGAAGGAATTATCCGAAAAGAAAAAGAACCTAAAGATCCTTCGTGGCCTACCAAAGTCTTGAGAGATGAATGTCACAGTAATGAGAGATCACCGAGACATGAAGACCACAAGCACAACCAAGATCTTTAGTGATCTTAAGGCTTACGAGTTTGAGCATGAACCAAAGGATGCTGATGAACCCGAAACAAGAAATGTAGCTCTTGTGGCCAACCAGCAAGCATCAACATCAAACAGGTCAAAGTCTAACTCTTGTGAATTTTTATCTGATGAACAATATGCCTTATTTGTTAGGAAAATGAAGAGGTTTATGAGGAAGAACAACTTCCAATATTTTCAACGTTCGAGACACCGAAGACAACACGAGAGTTCACCTCAAACCTCAAAGCAAGAGACATCAAATTCGCAATTGCTATGCTACAATTGTCGGAAGCCAGGACATTTCAAGGCGAATTGTCCACATCCAATTGTGAATAAGCACCAAGATGGCAATGCTATCAAAAACCCATCCAAAGAAGTAGGAAAAAGCTACAAGAGAAATGACAAGCCGGAATTTTCGAACTCCAGAAACGAAAGAAGAAGAAGAAAAGCTATGTTAGTAAACGAAACATCTGACACTATCGAAGCCGAAAGCAGTTCATCAAGTTCAAGTTCGGATGATGATAGTGCTGAAGAAAAAGGATTTCTATGTCTGTTTAGCCAAGAGTCAGATGAGCTATGCCTTATGGCCGATGATGATGAGGTAACTTCACAATCATCCTCTTGTTATTCAGCAGAGTCTAGTTCTATGAGGAGTCAAGCTTCCAATGAATCAGTTACCGAAATGATGAGGGAGTTCAAGATAATAAAAAACACATACTCTAAATTAAAAGGGGAGAACTCTCGGCTTATGATCAGCTACAATGCGCTAAGGCAAGTTCGAATTGAAAACATAAAGCTAGCCATTGCTAAAGATCAACTTGAGAAAAATGTTCTCTCTCTAAAAGAGTAGTGTACAGAAAGAGAAAAGAGGGAGCAACAATTACGTGAAATCTTAAATTCATTCAACAATTCGTCCAATCTAATGGATCGAATGGTGAACGGATCAAGATTGCCCGGGGAAAGAACGTGAATTGGTTTTGACCCCAGCTCCTCTTCACAAATCGGCTTGAACAAATTCACCAATGCTTACTCTCGGGAGAGTTTTCAATCAGCATTTGTTCAAGGCCCCACCCAGATGTCTAAGCCTATGACGAAAGTTAACAGTGTCGCTATGCCACAATCAACAAGCCAACCGAAAGGAAAGGCTGTACAACGAATTGAGGATCCTAGAGTTGAAAAATCCTTCAAAGGCAATCCTAGATATAGATATGTCAAAAGGAATGAACCAAATGGCAATGGACAAAATCTACACCATAAAAAAAGTCAGCCTTATAAGGATATCCAATCAAGGAAAATACCTAATGTTAACCAGAGGCAATATCGTCCAAAATCTACACGAAAGTATCCTGCTCAAGGAATCCCAAGAAATGGACAAATTAGGCAAAACGAAAGATCCTTCAAAAGATCTGGATATGGCAATGGATGGACTGGGCCATCAGAGGAAGATTGGTTTGTTTACCCAGAACCTCTATCAAGAGAACAATTTGAGAAAATACATCTGCGTAAACAAACTAATTATTTCAAGCAGTATCATAATCCTCCTGAAGAATATTTTCGAGAGAGATACAATGCTAAAACCTTTGCCAAGATCAGTTATGATTATCGCACATCTAATGGATATAGAGGACCAAGGATGAGTCAAGGAAACTCTAGGTTCATGTGGATCCCAAAGTTGACATCTAACCCTCAAGGACCCGTAACTCAAGGGGTACCTAAGAACGTACAATCTTTCTTGCAGGATAAACAAGTCATATGGTATGTTGATAGTGGTTGCTCAAGACATATGACTGGTGACAAAGCAATGTTGAGCAACTTTAAAGAAGTTGACGGACCCAAAGTCATCTTTGGAGGCGAAATGAGTGGCAAAACTCGTGGAACAGGAGACATCATCAAAAAGGGAATAACTATTCAAGATGTATCGTACGTCGAAGGGCTAAAATTCAATATTCTAAGCACGAGTCAATTTTGTGACACAGACTACAAAGTCGAATTCTCAAAAGACAAATGTAGTTTAGTCAGCACGAGAGATGGTGAAACTGTTCTAACTGGCCAGCGAAAGAAAAACATGTACGTAGTTTCTTGGAATTCATCTAACACTAACGTTTGTCTTGTTGCTAAGAATAATGCAGATTTAAGCCAGGAATGACACAACAAGTTGAGTCACCTAAATCTAAAGACAATCAACAAGCTTGCCAAGAAAGATCTCGTGAAAGGCTTACCGAAAGCATGTTATGTGAAAGACAAGATATGTGAAGTGTGACACCCCAAAAATCCACATTCAATCCATGGATTAATTGAGTAATTAATCCTATTGTATTTGAGGAATTAATTCTTAAAATCCTGATTTTTAATACTCAAGAACTAGTATTTGACTAGTCAACCTTAAAGTTGTGCTTGTACCTTGAGCTTTGAGGGGAGTTCCTTTGTTCCTTACACTTTCTAAGGATTAGTAAGGGTATTCTTGTCTTTTCACCAAGAGTTAGTATTGTAACCTAACCTAGAAGACTTCTTCATTTCATTCCCTACAATTCTTAGAAATTACTTCTACCTTCTCTCTAGAAAAGAAGTGTATCTTATTCTCCAAGCCAAGTTGAGACCCTTGTCAAGATTCCAAGATTTGCTTCCAAGATTCAACCTTTCACCTATTTGGGCATCTAGGAGGGTAAGATCTAAGTTCATCTTGTGTTTTTTGTTCCATCTTAGTTGTCTTTTTCTTAAAGGTAGGATCTTTATGATCTTTTGGTTTAATCTTGAAGTGGGTTTGGAAAGTAAGCCTTGTGGAGAGCTTGTTGTGGTGTAAAGTGAAGTCTTTTTGTCTTCAAGAGGTAACCCATGCTCTACAAAACCTATTTTGCTTACCTATATGTGATTTCTTGGATTCTACTTGTGTTTTTCTACGAAATGTGAGGGTTTATGCATTTATCTTGTGATATTGCATATCTAGAGCTTGTGTTTAGGGTTCCTTTGTGCCATTGCTTGGCATTTTCCATGGTTCAAGTCATTTTGTTGTATTGGGTGAGATTTGGCATGTTTTGGACTTGAATTTGTGTTTGGAGAAGAAAATCCCCGAAGGGATTATTTTGCCGAGGAGTATGTACCCGCGGGCGGAACGGCGGGGAGATTCCTACCCGCCGCCCACCCGCAGGTACAGAGGCTTGTGGGTAGTGTACCCGCGGGCGGAATCACGGGTAGGGGCCTACCCGTGGGTCCACCTGCGGGGAACACTGTGGTGTTCGTTCGGGATTTGTTCCCCGTGATTTGTTTGACTCGGTATTTGGTATTTTGACTTCCCGTTGTTCTTTTGTGGAACTATTTGAGTGTCTTCTTGATGTTTCGTACGTCTAGAACTATATGGTAGGTATCCGTGTAGAACTTTGGTGTCTTGAATCGTGCGAAGTGTTCAACATCGTGTTTCGTTGGACCGAGAGGTGTCTTGTGTGTTCCTCGAAACTATCTTGAGTTTCTCCGTTGTTAAGCATGCTAGTTTATTGTCTTAATGCTAGCGTGTGTGTTGTTTGTACCTTCCGATTGGTTGATGATAACTTGTGTTATTCATCGTTGTTGTCGTTGGGCTGTGACCCATTCCTTGATTGAGTATGTTTCATACCTTCATTGTGACCCGTTGTTTGACTCTTGTTAAGTTGTGGTGCGTGTGTGGCTTTACCTGGATTGCACGATTAGTGGTATGGGACACTAGTCACCAAGGTATTGCAGCGGTCCTCGTGGTGGCCGTGACGTGATTATGGAGCTGTGGCCTGAGTGATGGGTCCACGTTTTTGGGGGATAACATGTGTTATCCGGGCATGTGTTGACGTGAATTGGTGGTTTCGTTGGTGGTCATTGGTGGGGGACGACGGTCCCGGGGGAATAAGGTTGGACTAAGAAGTACAGGGGTCTTGGAGGTAATGGTTGGAAAGAAGATACAAGGTTGGGGGTAGCCATAAGGTTGGAACAGGGCATAAGGAAGGCATACCAACTCGTGATGGGTGATGTTGCGAGGGCTTGTAAAGCCGGCGTTGTGTGTTCTTCTCTCATGACGTGTGTAGTCACGGAGGTTTGTGTTGCTTTGGCATGTGTTGCCGTTGGGTGAGTCTTTATCTTTCGCATTGTGGTTAACCTTTGTGGTTTGGGATGTGTTTCCGTGTTATCTTTGAGAGTGATGAGTCTTGTGTTGACTGTTGATCTTGGTTTTGACTTATATGTATATGTATTCCGTTTCGAAAATGGTTTTTATGACTTATATCTATCTACATATGATACTTAACGGTATTGGTGGGTTACCAGCATTATTCGCTGACCGGGCGTCGTCCCAATGTTTATCTTTGTATCTTTCAGGTGATGTTTAGACGAGCGCGATGTCTAGAGCCTGGTAGCTTAGCACCTTTATCCTTGCTTTTGTGGCCTGTGCGCCAATGTAGTTAGACTGATGTTTTGGGATAGATGTATACACTTGCAGATTGTTTGCCGTAGCGTTTACCGTGTTTGGTAGACGTGGCATGACACCCCGTTGGATTTCTTTTATCCAGTTCTCATTTTATCTTCCGCTGTGCTAGTTTTGTTGTTAATCTGCATGTGTTAAGGCTTTTTATATAGGTATTGTTTAGGGGGTGTTACATGAAGCATGTCAAAAAGGGAAACAAATCAAATCATCCTTCAAATCCAAAGACACGGATGCAAACTCTCGACCTTTAAATCTTCTACATTTGGATCTCTTCGGACCAGTTGATCCAGCAAGTCTAAGTGGGAGAAAGTATAATCTCGTTGTAGTAGATGATCACACGACATATACTTGGGTACTCTTCTTAAAGAAAAAGAATGAAACAGAGATTGTTCTACCAAATCTCTTGAGACAGCTTCAAACAGAAACGGAAGTCAAGATTATCCAAATAAGATCTGATCAGGGAACTGAATTCGTTAACAAAGTTATCAAAGATTTCTGTGGACAAAACGGCATTTTTCATCAACTATCGGCAGCATGAACCCCTCAACAAAACGGAGTAGCCAAAAAAAGGAACAGAACTTCGAAAGAAGCCGCACGAACAATGATTGCACATTCGGGTTTACCAAAGCGGTTTTGGGCCGAAGCTGTAAACACAGCATGCTACACACAGAATTGATCCTTGATCAACAAGTCACACAACAAAACCCCATACAAATTATGGAAAGGTAAGACACCTAGCATTGGCTATTTTCATATCTTTGGTTGCAGGTGTTTCATTCACAACAATGGGAAGAATCATCTGAAAGCTTTCGACGAAAGAGCGGATGAAGGATTGTTCATGGGTTACTCCTCAGTGAGTAAGGCTTTCAGAATTCTAAACAAAAGAACAATGGTTATCGAGGAAACCATACATGTCAAGTTCGATGAGCAATCTGAGAAAAGTCCTGTTGGCATTGAATCATCTATCAATCCAAATCAAAGCTCTCAAGAACCAAATGAAGAAGAAATTTCAGATGATGAAGATATTCTATCCTCCTACACGAGATATCAGTTGAAGCCCTCTGAACCCGAAGTTTTAGCTCAAGAAGGTGATGGCATGCAACAAAATGTTCCTGATACCCAGACACCATTTGAACCTATGATTTATGTTGAGTTACCTTATATCCCTGAGATGGACGTACAGAATCAGCAAAGTTCGTTTGAACCCGATCTTAGATGGTTAAGAGACCATCCCCCTGATCAAGTCATAGGGAATATCCAAGAAGGAATAAGAACTCGGGCCAACGTTCATGAGAACACTAGTACAAAATAGAGCAAAGAAATCTTACTTTAAGCTACCCTTCTTTAAACAAGGGTAGTGTATTATTTTTAAAAAAAGAGGCGGTGGCATAATTGTAATTAAATGAATA